TCAACATATATGAGGATGGTAGTCAAGGTATTTCAAGCTGCCTTAGGACAAAACATGGAGGCCTACATGGATGACATGATCGTAAAGATTGCAAGGGTCACGAATCATGCTCATGACCTCATTGAAGTGTTTAAAATAATCAAAGGGATGAATCTTCGCATGAACCCTACAAAGTGCACCTTTGTGGTGCAGGGTGGGAAGTTCCTAGCTTCATAGTGACCCATAGGGGTATCTTGATCCCAACCTGAAAAAGTCAAGGCGATCTTGGAGATGGAGTCACCCAGGAATACAAAGGAGGCTTAGACATTCAAGGGCAGGCAGGTAGCTTTAGGTGAATTTTTATCCAAGTCAGCTAAAAGTTTATATCGTTCCTTCCAAACTTTAGCAAAGCCCAATGCTGAAGTTCTTATCAGTGCTGGTTCGTGAAGAGAATGGAGTGCAACACCCAATGCATGATATTAGCAAAGTATTACATGGAGTCGAGCTCAGGTGCCTCGTATTGGATAAAATCACCTCCACAGTGTATACTACATCCAAGAAGCTAGCCCATTACTTCCAGACGCAGTTCGTTAAGATCCTTTCGAACCTCGAGGTGGGGTACCATCTTTAGGACCGCTAAAACCAATCAGGTTTGTGAAAAGGCCGATTCTAATCGACTAATACAGAGTGGAGTTTTATGCCTCGATTGAAAATCAAGGGATAGACTGTGTCATATTTTGTGGTAGAATGCACAACTTGAGAATTAGCTGAGGAGAAACGCCAAGAGGAAGACGTATGATAGACCCGATGACCGATGGCTCATCATCGGGATCCAAAGGTTGTGGGGAAGGAGTGATCCTCATCACCCAGAAGGGCTCAAAATATATTAAACCATCAAATATGAATTCTCCCTCTCTAACAATGAAGCTCAATATGAGGCCTTATTGTGAGACCTAAAAATTGCAGCAAGTTTCATGGATGAAAAGCTGAAGATCAAAAGCGACTCTAAATTGGTAATCAAACAACTCAGTGGTAAGAACGAAACCAAGGAATAATGCATGCAGAGGTATAGAGATATGACCCTTGATTTAATCAAGAATTCCGATCAGTCCGACCTCATTTGCATGCCAAGGGAACAAAATGGAGACACGGACATGTTATCTAAATTGGCACAGGGTGCACCGCAGCACATCGCCCGCATTGCCAAAGTGGAGGAGGAACTAGAGAAATGCAGCATAGACATAATCAAGTCTCGGGGAGTCATGCCCATACCACCAACCCCCAAGGTGCTTGTTGGATGACCTCATGGATTAAAAATTGATCGGAGCCCTCTTAGCTAGAGAGGATGAAACTAAACTGATCCAATGATGATCCCAAAGCTATGTCATTCAAAATGGCAAACTTTACAAAAAGAAGTTATAATGGTGTATTGCTCAAGTGTCATAGGTCAGACCAGGCTCAGTCAGCAATATGTGAGGTACACTTAGGAGTTTGCTCGTCACATCAAAGAACGCTTACATTGGGCACAAGGTAATCTTGCAAGGGCACTGGTGGCCAACCATCATGAGGGACTGTGCAAAGTTCGCACGGAAGGATGATGCTTGCCAGAAGTTTCAATTGAGTACCTAGTAATAAGTCATAAATAAAGATTACCGGGAGAATTGGTCGAAGAGATGGTAAGAAGTCCGAACCCACCCACACAATTGCAGTACTTTAGGGAGGAGCATTTTCCCACTCAAGCATCTCGCTACATTAATCGTACGATCAGCTAAATTAGATCTACAACATTCTTTTCTCTTCTTGACTTCATATTTCTCAAATCACTTTCCTTTCCGTGAGAAAATTTTCTCGTCTTCTCATCTCTTCCCCTCACATAAACCAAATCACTTTTCTAATCTCCCCCCTTACATAAACCAAATTATTTTCCTTTCGAAAAAAAAACTTTTCTTTTCATCTTCACAAGTTCCATCTCTAGTGATAAATATTAGATTTGTGGCTAACGTTTTAAGTGATTCATGATTCTTTTCTAGCTTGTATCTTAGAGCCCGTTTGGTAACACGGAAATCGGTTGATTCGACTTATTCTACTAAAATTTATGAACTTCAGACTGAAGTGGATGCATTGGCTGATTTTGCTGAATTTTGTCCTGAATTCAATAGGTATAGACTTCCAGCTTCTGTTCACAACATCCATAAATGTCGGGGTGTGATAACCATATATTTTGAAACCTGAAGGCTTTAGGGCCAGCACCATCTTTATGAGAACATTGAACCAGGATAGATAAATGATTTGATGGAACACTATTCAAAAGAGAAATATGAATTAAATCAAAATAATCAATGCATTTATTATTTACCAGACACCTATTCAGTTTTCTCCATAATCTACCATTGGATCTAACCTCTGTTCATGTGTATTTGCAACCAGAGTAAGGAAGGTCAATGAGGTCTACACCTGGAAATGCAGTCCGAGAACTCTTGCAGGCTGGTAAGAATCGGTGTTCCCCTCCCTTGGTGCTCATTAAAATTAGCAATTGTATTGAAATCCCCCCATCCAGGGATTCTTGATAGTATTAGAAAAATCAGTCAAAGCATTCCAAAGAGTTCTTCTATCAATATAAGTGTGACTCCCATATATAGCAGTAAACCACCCTGCAAAGTTATGTTTTCTCACTTTGAAATGAACACACTGATTTTGTCAGGAAAAAGCAGAAAGTAAAACTTTATTGGGATCCCAGATGATCCAAATTTTGTTGACATCTGAAGTTATGACCTCATTCAGACCAATCTGAGAAGTGTAATGAATGGCCTTAGATCTATCCACAATAGGTTCAATTACTATAAGAAAATTAATACTCCATGTTTAATTGGGGAATTAAGTCTAGAATGGGAGGCTTCTAGACCCCTAACATTCCATATGAGCCAATTCATTGGGAAACAACATTTGAAGTTTGTGAGAATCCATGGTTATCCTCCTTTTAGCTGCATTTCTGGTAGTAGTTGAGGAAGCTCCCACTTCTAATATTATTCTTGTTCTTCTGTGAGTGACTTTAGTAAACCCCCATTGTTCTTCCATAGCTATATTTGCATTGTGTTGCTTTCCTGCCTTCTCTCCCTATTGTTTTGCTAGTTCTTTTTCTTCCATAGCTATATCACAAATTTTAGGCCATCAAGTCTGCCAAGCATCACTGTCCACTTTGGAAGACTTTTCACTACCAGAATGGTACTCCTTGGTAAGTATTTTTGGATCATGCTCAAGAGATTGTCGCATCTTCTTTAAATGCGCATCATCTTTGGCTCCTGACCTTCCTTTTGCAAGAAATAAAGTCATACCATTGAGATATGCCTCAATAGTATCTTAAGGGTTATTCTGATTAGTCTCCACTTCTGAGCCAGGCTGATGTAAATCAACCTCCACCTCAGGCTCATTTTCCTCTATGTTAGGATGAGCTTTTGAATCAAGGAATATTTCTTCAATCTCTGGATCTTCCTCTCCCCCCTACCATCCTGTGTTTTAGAAGAAGTAGCAATATTGTATTAACCTGGACATTATCCTGAATTTTATTAAGGATGTTTTCTTTTGGACTAAAGTTTGCAGGTCTAGTCTGGTTTGGTTTGGTCTGTTTAAGTTTGGCCTGGTCTGAACTGGTATGGTCTAATAAATGTCTGGTCTTTGTGTATTTAATAACTGTCCATGTCTGGTCTGATCTATTTAAGTTTTGTCTGATCTGATCTGATGTGGTCCGGGACTCAAAACAATTCAAAAGAAAACATTCTAAGGTCATTTGTAGTGGAGAGGTTTTAGGAGTCCAAAAAGTTAAAAATGAAACTTTTGGACTCCTAAATGTGTGTAATGGAGGATTAAGAGGTGTGTTAAAAGTGGGTAAGGGGTTGATGATGTTATTAATAGAGGGTGGATCGAATCCTAAATAATGATGTCATCCCTGTGTCATTAAACCCCAAATGTTTTAAAACTCTTATAACTTTTATATTTGTATTACAATTTTTTCAAAAAAATATATCAAAATTCATGAATTTTCATGATATTTCACATGACACCAATATGTAATATATAAAACGAAAACAATCTGAAGTTTTAATTGTTGAAGTTTTCTTGAACCCCAAAAAACAAGAAAAACAAAATTTTAAAACATGGAGCCTTCACAAATAACTGAATATTTCATAATCGAACTTTACTTGAGTTAAGTTCATTTTTGTTAACCGAAAAACGTTAAAAAAATTAATGAAATTTATTTATTTGTACATCGAAATGTGTATTTTTTATTTGATAATTATTTAGGGAAAAAAAATAAAAGGATAAAATTATTTATACTCCCTACGTTTTTGAATCAAAGTCACACTTTCCTCTTTTGGATGTTTCAAAAACAAAGTCACACTTCCCTTATTTCCTTATTTAGCAAAGAAATCTACATCAAAACAATACGAAACAGTGCAAAACAATGTCAAAACAGTGTTCTCTACGGTAAAATTTTCCCCTCAATAAGTGTGAAGTCAAATTGTGACTTTCTTTTGGAAACGGAGGGAATAATAATTTAATTAATGTTTTACTAAATTGATATGTAAAAAAATATGATAAGTGTGTTTTATTGATGGTGCTGAAATGCAGGGAGATAAGAGTCAAAACAATGTTTTCATATGGACGTAGTCCATTTTTAACAATTCGGCCTCTCCACCGCTGCAAATGATCTAAGAGATTGACACCAATGCTTGAGTGTTATACTTCGTACTAGCTAGGATGTTTTCTTGTGGACTGTTTTTAGTCCCAGACCAGACCAGACTAGATCAGACCAGACTTCCGTAGTTATAAAATACAAAGAGACCAGACGTTTACTAGACCGGACTAAACTAGATCAGATAAGACCAGATCAACAAATTTCAATCCAAAAGAAAACATCGTTAGTACATAAGTCAAAAAATTTAAAATGGAACTTTTATACCTTAGTTGAGTAGTGGGGGATTAAAAGGGGTTGGGTTGACATGTGGGCTCAAATTAGCATTCGACGTATGGATTCAAGCCCAACTCTAGTTCTTCCTATAATGACTCCACCCTAGCTTCTATATGCTGCTCTCCTTGTCCTCTCTCCTATATTCGACAACTTCACTATTCGGTAGGGAGAGATATGGGGAAGAAGAGAGTGGTAGAAGCCGGAGAGGAAGTGGGTAATCCAAGCACGAACAATTTAGATTCCGAGTTTTCAGCAAAGAAGAAGAAGAAATCAGAGGGTGGGATGGAGGGGACCGATGCTCCTTCAACCTCAACAAAGAAGAGGTCTGCCAATCACATGGAGAATAAAAAGGAAAAACGAAGGAAGGACAAAAACAGGCACCAACAGGAGGAATCCGATACCGTGGAGCCAAAGCCTGAAAATATAGCTTTGCAAATAAAAAATGACGTGAACATGCAAACTTCACCTAGCAGCAGTGGCTGCGTTCATTTGCCTGAGTTTCATATCGGTGTGTTCAAGGACCTAGGAACTGCCGATCCTTCCCTCAGAGAAGCTGCAGCTGAAATGCTGGTTACTGAGTTGCAGGAGGTGCAGAAGGCATATGATCAGCTAGAGAATAAGGAAGCTGTTGATGGGGAGTTGAAGTTAGAAGCTTATAAGGGTGACGGGTTGGATAAATGTGCTCCATCCTTGAGGTACGCAGTTAGGAGGCTTATTAGAGGAGTTTCTTCTTCGAGAGAGGTGAGTTTCTAGTATCATTGTTTATAAATCCTTTTTACCTGCATTTTACTCTTTACGTATGAATAGCTGATTTTTTGTCCCTCTGGATTATTTGCGGCACCTCACATCAGAATTTTTGCCACCCCGATATCATGATGTATCGGGGTTGTTTTTGTGCTTCAGCAGTTGGTAATATTTTGATTGTCTCCTTTTTGACAAAGAATGCGTATCATCACTACAGTTTTTCATCAGAAATTCCATTTATCCTTTTTTAAGTATGGATACCTGATTTTTTTATCCCTCTGAATTTTACCAATTGCAGTGTGCAAGACAAGGGTTTGCATTGGGCTTGAGTATTTTAGTCAGCACAGTTCCTAGCATAAAGATGGACGCACTGTTGAAGCTTATTGTTGAATTGGTCGAGGTTACTTCATCAATGAAGGGACGGGTGAGCAAATCAAAGTAACTCTACTGTCATGTGTTTAGGCTTTGTTTGATTGCAGGAAATTGTTTTACTAGAAATTGGTTTCTTATTTTCCTGAAGAATGTTTTCCTTGGGCTTGTGCATTTTTATGGAGGATGACTTCCTACTTTTACAAGAAGTCATTGTCTTGGAGCAATTTTATTTACTGTGTTTTTGTAAATTCCAAATTGTATTATTCATAAAAAATTGTAATTATGTGAATTGCCAACAATCAAACATAACTTCAGTAAGATTTTTTATTTTACTTTTTTAAGATCGCCTTATCTTTTTAAATGCTATGCCTGTCATTTAGGACGTAAGAGACTCCCTTTTAGGACGCTTGTTTGCTTATGGAGCTATATCAAGGTCAGGAAGACTAACAGAAGAGTTGATTAGAGATAAAGATACTCCATACATCAAAGAATTTATTGGCAGTGTACTCTCACTAGCAAATAAGAAGCGGTATTTACAGGAACCTGCTGTCTCAGTTATATGGGAATTGGTTGAAAAGGTACTTTGTTCTGTAATAAATGTTTCGTAAGGCATTTAGACATTTAGTCAATGATGTAATGGTTGCAATTATATTTTCTGACTTGTGCCTCATGAATTGAGCACAAATTATATAACTAATAGTGATGACTTATCAAGACAATCTACATCTATTTTGTGAGATGCTAACTTATACTACCTCTGTCCGCCCCTTAAACAACTTCCTAGTTTGTATATCACACTTTAAGGAAATAAACTTTTCTTTGACCTCATGAAATACCCTTTTTACCGAGGGTAAATATTTTGTAGTGTACACTGTTTTGACGCTGTTTGGCACTGCTTGACACTGTACAATCTTATTACCTAAGGGTAATAAAGTAAATTGAAAGGAATTCACTTACCAAATAAGGAAATGGGACTTTATTTAGGGAAGCCCCCAAAATGAAAGTATGAAGTTCTATAAGGGACGGATGGAGTATATCAACGGTCTACTGGTTTCAATTATGCCTTCTGACTTGTGCCCCATGAATTTAGCACAAGTTGTGGTCCACTCTAACGTGACATTTCCTGTAAATCCAGTTACCTGTTGAAGCATTGCCAAGTCATTTTTTTGAAGCTCCTGGCCTTCAGGAGTGGTTTGGGAGTGCAACTGAAAATGGAAATCCTGATGCCTTGCTTTTGGCTCTCAAAATACGAGATAAAGTTGGAGTTGATAATATCATGTTTAAAAAGCTTCTACCTTCTCCATTTAGCCCAAGCAGCCTTTTTTCTGCTGATCATCTATCCTCTATTGCGGCGTGCTTAAAGGTGATATTTTTATCTCTCATCATATATTCTTCCTTCTGAAAGTGTTGCTAAAGAGAGGATTATGTTTTAACTTTAAACTTTTATTTATGAAATACATAGGAATCTAACTTCTGTCAGCCACGCATTCATAGTGTATGGCCCGCCTTGCTGAATATTCTCTTGCCTGATAGTGTTTTGCTAGTTGCTGATCCTGCATCAGTTTTGAACTCCACAAAGAAGCACAAAAAAAGCCGTAGGGGAGAAGATGATATTGAGAAAAATCTCAGAAATTTTTGTGAGGTCATTCTTGAAGGATCACTTCTCTCATCATCTCATGACCGCAAAAATTTGGTGTTTGACGTTCTGCTTTTGCTCCTTCCAAAGCTACCTGCACATTATATTAACATTGTGTTATCTCATAAACTTATCCAGTGCTTGATGGATGTTCTTTCAACTAAAGATACCTGGCTTTTTAAAGTTGCAGAGCATTTTTTGAAAGAATTGTCTGAATGGGTAAGAAGTGATGATGTTAAAAGAGTCGCTGTTATTGTGGCATTGCAACGACACAGCAATGGAAAATTTGACGGCATGACTAGGACCAAAACTGTTAAGATGTTAATGATGGAGATTAAGAGTGAATCTGGCTGCATGCATTTATTACAGGAATTGATGAGCATGTTTCTGGATGAAGTGCATGCTTCAGAACAACCTTCAGATCAAAGCCAAACAACTGATGAAAATTCAGAAATTGGTTATAAAGAGGATAAAGGTTCTAATGGGTCATTGGGATTTTCTGATATTCTGAAAAGCTGGATCATAGAGTCTCTTCCCGGTGCTCTAAAGCATTTGGAACTTGACCCAAACACAAGGTTCAAAGTGCAAAGGGAGATCATGAAGTTTTTAGTTGTTCAAGGTCTCTTTTCTTCAACTTTGGGGTCTGAAGTTACATCTTTTGATTTGCATGAAAAGTTTAAGTGGCCAAAGTCAGCCATCTCAAGTGATTTGTGTAGGATGTGCATTGAGCAGCTACAGTCATTGCTTTCAAGTGCACAAAAGACAGAGGGATCTCATGCTTTGGCAGTTGGTACTGAAGCTAATGATCTGGGATCTTACTTCATGCGTTTTGTTAACACATTAAGAAATATTCCTTCGGTTTCACTATATAGATCCTTGAATGATGCTGATGATGAAGCATTCAAAAAATTGCACAAAATGGAAGCATTGCTTGCAAGAGAGGTTTGCCATTTGCTCCGAACATTTGCGAATTCATTTTGTCCTGTTCATTTAACTCACTCTCACATTCATGTGAGAAATAACAAGTAACATTGGAGAATACTATCGATAGATTTAAAGGTTAAAAAATGAGGTTGCAATTTTCTAACTAGATGCAATGTTTGTAACTGAAAAATGCAGTATGTATAAGGTGCACAGTTTACACAAAATGAAGTAATGTATTGTCCCCATTTCTTCACATGGGGAACCTATCTTCATGGGATCCTTACCCTATATATATGTGCGTATATGTGTGGGGGTGCTTGTACAATAAAATCTCTATATATAAACATCATTGGGACCAAACTAGTTCTATTTTGGTTCTATGTACAAAAAATTTAAAGCCGGGCCCAAAATGATAAGCTGCCTCTCTCATATTCATCGTATCCTTCTTCACCCGTTCCAAAATTATCTTTATTTTCCTTTAAGGAAGTCATTACGTGCTTGATATGTTTTTTCTCCCCTTTAAGCAAATTTCAACTACAAAAGTTCCAGTTTCTTAAAATTGTGTGCTCAAACAACATCCAAGCCTTATTCGCAATAGATTTTGGGGTCGGCTAACATTAATCGATCCGTGATATCAGAGCCAAAAAGAGAATAAAGATAAAAAAAATTAAAAGTAAGAAAAATCGATCCATGATTTTGGGGTCCCTATTTAAAGTAAGACAATGACATTGTGTGACACTGTTTGGCACTGTTTTGCATTGTTTTGTTTACCAAATAAGGAATGGAGACTTTTTAAGGGACGTCCAGTAAAGGAAATTGGGAACATTAAATAAGGAGTATAAGATAAAAATAACATAAGAAAGATAAAAGGATAAAAGAACATAAGAAAGAGAAAAAGATAAAAATAACATAAGAACATACAAAGATAGAGAAGATAAAAGATCAAAGAAAAAGAGAGAGTGAAAAGAGATCAATCGTTCACACGATATATGCCCTCCACTTTGCTCTCTCCAAAGCCATATTTTCATCCAACCTGAAGAATCATATCAGTTTTTTTGATTCCTCTAATCCAAGTATGTTTGGGTCTCCCCCCCCCCTCGTCCTCACCTCTCAAGTCCTCTACTAGAAAAATGTTATTCTTGTATAGAATGTGTGCATGCATGCATGTATGTATGATGTGTGTGTATGCAGTATGTATGTTCCATAATACATAGAGAGTGAGTGGGTATCCCATTATCTTCTGTTGGTTTTATGGTGTATATCTTTGGTGAGTTGAACTGTAGAAGGCGTTGCATTGTCTTATTTGCAAATTAAAAAAAAATGATTTCTAATTTTGAGTATCCTTGATCAGCACTTTCTTTTGTTAGTTATGCAAGCTTATATTGTTTCTTTTAACTTGAAACACTGGCAGGAGAGAGATTATGCTTCAAGTGTGGATTTGAACAAGGCGTTGCATTGTCTTATTTGCAAATTCAAAAAAAAAATTGATTTCTAATTTTGAGTATTCTTGATCAGCACTTTCTTTTGTTAGTTATGCAAGCTTATATTGTTTCTTTTAACTTGACACACTGGCAGGAGAGAAATTATGCTTCAAGTGTGGATTTGAACAAGTGTCGTGCCTTGAGGTACTTGCTCATCCAACTTCTGCTCCAAATCCTACTACGACCAGGGGAATTCTCTGAAGCTGCCTCTGAGCTTGTTATGTGTTGCAAGGAAACATTGGGTCCATGTGACCTTCTTGGCTCCTCAGGTGAGGATGAACCAAATGAAGATAGTACACTTCATGTAATGGATGTGCTAGTGGATACCATGCTTTCTCTTCTGCCGCAGTCATCAGCTCCCACGAGGGCAGCCATTGAGCAGGTGAATGTTTAGAAAACAAAAAAGAATTTCATGATGGTTTTTCTTCAACTTTATTTTTTAAAGCATTCTTGTAGAAGTAAAATCGAAAATAATCCTCTTGTTTGGTATGATCATCCTATTTTCCACTTCTCATACCGATTCATGATATTATGCTTCCCTTTTAGTCAGATGCTTCATTTGGATGGGATCTGTTTTTATCTGGAACTTGAGGGGACATGCCTATTTACTCTCTTTTATTACTCCCTTTGCACTATTGTACATGTCCTGCTTAGTAGTGAAACAAACTAACTATTAATTCTTCATTTATTTTCTTTAAAATTCTATTATGATAATAATTTTGACTTGTTATCAATATTTTCATGCAGCTTTAAAATATATGAACTTTATTTAATTATCTAATACGGTCTCATCCCATTTTATAAGTTTCACGTTCCTTTTTTTGCTTCATCCCACGTGCATGTCCATTTTCCTTTTTTGAAATCCACCAGTTTTTTTGACTTATCCTATTCACTCTTGTATGGTTTCCCCACTTTTATAAAGGTTACCCATCTTTGTGCTATTTGATCATTTTGCAATGGAGCCAAAGACTTGCTATTTTTTGGCTTGGAAATATTATGGAATAAAGCAAAATGGTTCACTAAACTGTATGTGTTTCTTTGTTATGAAGCAGTAGTCAATCCATGTAATTTTCGACGTGATTTTCACTATGAATCATCCGGAAACAGTCTCTCCCTGCTTTAGTGCAGGGGTAAGATTGTCTGACCCCCCTTACCCCACCGTAGGTGGGAGCCTTTGTGGCACTGGGGTAATGACGATGATGACGACCCATCTTTGTGCCATTTTACTGTACTAACTAGTCAAACAAACTAACTTTTATTTCTTCACTTATTATCTTTAAAATTCTATGATGATAAATAAATTTGACTTGTTTATCAGTATTTTTATGCAGCTTCAAAATGTATAATTTTTTTATTTTTATTTCTAATACTCTGTCATACTATCTTATAAGTTCGATGTTCCTTTTGCTTTATCCCGCATGTATGTCCATTTCCCGTTTTTTGAATTCCACCATTTTTTTTTAACTTTTTCTTTTCTTTCTTATGGTTTACAAAACTTTTATAAAAGTTATCCTCCTTTCAATGGATAGAATAGAAATTGTGATTACATATAGTTTGTTTATTTAATATCCATGCAAAAAGAAATTGGGATGTTACCAACCAGCTCTATGGACTTAGTATGTGTGCGTTAACATGGGACTTATAAATTGGAGAGGGACCATCACATAAATTACTCCCTCCATCCTTGAGTTATCTTTTTACTCCCTTTTCTGTTTTTCCCCAACTTATCTCCCTGTTTTTCTTTAGGAAATAATTGTGCAGGTGGAAAATTTATCATTCCTTTCTAAACAATTCAAATGACAAATAATATTTCATTTTTTAATGAATGTTCCAGAATTAAGTTGAGATGAAAGGATGGAGGGAGTGCTAAGAATTAAAAGAATTAAATTGTTATTAGAAAAAAATGGATATGGGAGTATATTTATGAATCTATACATTTCTTAACAAAAGCAGTGCTTGATTAGTGGATAAATATAATTTTGTTACATGCTTACGATTACTGACTTCTTCAAACACAACCATACCCTATTTTAGACTTTCAAGTATTTCTGTAAAGATATCACGGATGATGGGTTGCTTCGCATGTTACGGATCATCAAGAAAGATCTTAAACCGGGTAGACATCATGATAATGATACTGAAGATGATGATGATAATGACATTCTTGATATTGAAGATGCATCGGAATCCGATGAAGATGGGATTGCTGATAGTGATGATCAGATTGATGACTCTGAGGCAGTAGTGGTTGGAGCAGAGGCAGAAAGCACAGAGTTTCCGAATTATACTGATGACTCTGATGAGGGAATGGATGATGATGCGATGTTCCGGATGGATTCATATCTTGCACGAATTTTCAAGGAACGAAAGAACCAAGCTGGTGGTGAAACTGCTCAATCACAGCTCATTCTATTTAAACTCCGTGTTCTCTCCTTACTAGAGATCTATCTTCATGAAAATCCAGGCAAATCTTTGATCCTCTATGAAGTTCATATAATTACCTTGAGCATATTTATGTTTAACGTTTCTCCCAAATGTATTACCTTTCCAAAATTTGGAAGTTGTACCTTGACCAATAAAGGCCTTTTGGGACGGATGTAGTATCTATCTAGTGTTACATTAGTTTGTTAGAAGGGAGGTGAGGAAGTGATAAGTTGCACAGAGTAAAGTAATACATGATTTAACTAATGAGATGCTCCCTCAGTCCGGATTTACCAATACATTAATCTGCTGCATTTTTGTTCCCTTTGTATCTGTTCTATCTACAAAAATGCGCTCTAATGTGTTACAAAACTATGCAGGTAATCCGCAGGTGGTTAAAATCTTCCAAAGTTTGGCTCAAGCATTTATAAACCCAAACGCCACCGAAGGCAGCGAGCAGCTTGGTCAACGTATATGGGGGATACTACAAAAGAAGATATTCAAAGCTAAAGATTTCCCGAGAGGGGAATCCGTTGAACTCCCTTTACTTGAATCCATCTTGGAAAAGTTCTTGAAGTTGGCTTCTAGGCCTTTCAAGAAGAAGAAATCCGCTTCAAACCTCTCAAAAAAGAAGCAATCCATCTCCTGGAACCGACACAAGATGATCAATTCACTCGCACAGAATTCCACATTTTGGGTCTTGAAGATAATCGATTCTAGAAGCTTCTCAAAGGACACACTCAGGACAACCTATGAGATCATCAAGGGCATTTTAGGGGACTATTTCGATAGTAAGAAGTCTCAGATGAAATCTGATTTTTTGAAGGAAATTTTCAAGAGGAGACCGTGGGTGGGCCACTACCTCTTTGACTTCCTCTTAGAGAGATGTAGCAGTGCGAAACTTGCTTTTAGGCAGGTTGAGGGCCTTGAGTTGGTTCTGGAGATACTCAAGTCTTTGGTGCCCACTGCAGAGTCAGGTAGGGACTCAGTTAAGAAAACAATGGAGAGTATGGTTCCTAAGCTGTGCCATCTGGTTAAGGTGCTCGTGACTAACATGCCTGACAAACAGTCCCGACGGGCAGATGTGAGGAAATTTTGCAGCAAAGTGTTTGGAATTTTGTCAAGCCTTGACCTGACCGGGCTGTTCCTGAAAGGGTTGGATCTTGATAGTCACGCTGCTTGTGAATCCCAAATTGGTGATGCCTTTCTTGCTCTGAAGAAGCAGGATTGCTAGGTTTTATTAATGATAAATTAATTTGATATTTGTATGGCAATACATGTAATAGTAATAATAATAATAATTATTTTTATTACTCGTTATGATTACATGAGAACTTCATTTCATGCATATTTTTAGTTACCATTCGATGAAGATTGTGATAATGGTTTGGCTCTAGTTTTTGGTTGCTGCTGGTCTATACTATAAGCGTATAAGCAAGGACGGATTCAGGAGTTTGAAAGGTATACATCCACTAATACTGTTTAAATAACTTGTGCTTTATTTAATCACATGAATCTTATCGGGAATAAATGATTAATATTTGAATTGTAACTTTTGTCTACCAAGGAGGTTGTTCGAGAGTCACGAGAAATTTTCTTAATATTACATAGTATGTATGAAATTGTTATTTTTATAATCATATTATATTGCAGATTCAGATATATCATATATGGTGCATATTGTATTTGTATTATTGCTAAAATAAGTTAAATTTTATTATCTATGTAATAAATTGTTTTTAGAAAGTAAGATGTAAATCAATTGTGTAATTTAATGTTAAGTGTCAACAACAAACATTTATATTTTTGATTCAATTCACATGATTTAAAAACTGTTTAACTAGTGTGTCTGATAATTAAACATTACAAAACTAGGAATTTTTATATAATATGTATCCTAAATCTTGAACAATGAGTTACTCTATTGTTTTTTTTATCATAAGGCACTTATATCATTAAAATAGCATTAGGTAGGAGTACAAGAACTTGAAAGGACCACATGTAACCATCCGCTCTTGGCCAAGACTCTGAGTTAATCACCCAAAACAAAGCGATATAACGCGCTAGACCTAATTTGGGCAATTTAAAGCAAACGACGATTACCACAGACCTCTCATCCCCCAAACCTAATGCAAGAGTCTTACAGTATAAAATAAAATAACAACAAAAAACAAATGACTTAACATGAAAATTAAAATGCAGAAAAGATAAATAAGCAAACTCCAAATCGCGTCGATCAACCCTTGGAGGTGGTTCTGGGGGAGGCCGAACCCTCGCAACAATTGTTAAAGCACCAAAGCGGTTTTCTTCCGACTCGGCCGCCTCTTCTTCATCATTGTTGTTGCACCAAAGCGATTTCCCCAGGCGCCAACCGGATGACAGTAGATCTTGGAACCCCGGAAGATTGATATTCCGGTCCGTAATCACGGCGCCAACCACCTGGAACACCACCTGATCGTCGGCATCCTCCATCAGCAAATTTCGAGTCCTCCCAATCTCTCCTTGGCCGAAAGCGAACCAGACGTGCCCAATATGATATAACATACTCGCCTGCGAGAATTGCTACTTGAAAGACAAAACAAGAGGATAAACAATCAAACGCCGAACTTCGATCGAAACGATCGAATCCGGAGGAAAACCCAGCGGCTTACGAAGCCTTAGGAAAAACGCACTACTCCCTATGCTTCCAACAAAACGAAATTTCCCTGAAGTGGTCTACTGTATTGTTTATTTGTTTAAGTTATGTAAATTATTTTAGATGATATATAAAATTTTGAAAACTAAAAGTTAAGGGGGGCGAACACATATTGATGGAGTTTAATCCAACTACGAGAGCTAAATATACGTAGAGTATAGAAATAATATTGAAATAATATGGCAGCGTAAGGCAGTATTACTCTTATTCCGGAAAACGAATTACCGATCCCTTGGTAGGGTGTTTACATGAAATATTTATAGAGATTAGGAGGTAGAATTATGGGAGGAATCTAATACAATAAATGCTTAATTAATGAACTATATTCTTGCTCGAAATAGAACTCCTTTTCGTGCTTCATCCTCACGCAATAATCATCTCCTAATTCCGATCGAGTCCTGCCTGTTGCCAAATATCTATCATCGAATGATAGCTTGCCACGTAGGCATTAGGAATATCCCGGCCTCACTAGAACTCCGCCCAGGCTCGAGGTCTGCTGTCCAGCCCGACTTGGCTCCGGGTTCCTATCGTGGGCCTGATTCCTAATGGGCCAAGCGACTTATTAAATATAAATCCCGTTTATGGGCTAATCCTGTTAATTAGGCTAATCCCGTTGAGAGCTGATCCCGTTTATGGGCTAATCCTGTTAATTAGGCTAATCCCGTTAAGGGCTGATCCCGTTTATGGGCTGGGTTACGTAATTGGGCCATGGCTATAATAAATGATACAATCACATATATATCTAATTAAAGCATAAATTTTTTATGAAAATATTACATATATAATAGAAAATTTTGAAAGTCCAAGGGGGTGGTCGCCCCTCGCGCCCCCCTTAAATCCGTTTCTGCGTATAAGGCACGCGTTGGAGCAGTGGATTTGAGCTGTTAAAATTGTTTTTTTTGTACTCTAGTTTGAAAATGTCACTTGTACTGTTGTACACACCCCTTATACCCTTTAAATACTCACCTTTTTATTTTTATCTTTTGTCTCGCACACATGCACACTCTTTCGCCTCAACTATTTTTGGCACTCATACTCATTTTATTGTTATACTTCAAACCGACACGGGTGTTGGGTGACAGATTCCACCTTCAATGGAGTTCGATGCGGCAAACATGTAAAGCAAGTGATGCCCAAATTCCTGTGGCCACGATAGGGGAAGAAAGCGCCGGAGACTGCATATGTGGTAGTGACACTAGGGGTGAACCGGGCCCAGTCCGGTTCGGGGACTGGGCTCCTCCGGGCTTGGAGGGTTATGGGTAAGGCCCGGAACCAGCCTGGAGTCTACCGGTTCCGGACCGGGCCAAGCCGGTTCCGACTCATTTTTTTTGCTTTCTTATTTATTTCAACCCGCACCCCCCATTCCCCCCAACCCCAAACCTCTCGGAAACACCCAGCCCAGCCCAACTAAACCCATCTCAAACCCCCCAAAAACAAAAAAACAAAAAAGGCCCGAACCAAGCCCGGCCGGGCTGGTTCGCCTTTTGGAAGACCCGGAACCGGAACTGCTTACCACCCGGGCAGGGCCTAAGCCCGGAACCGGTTTCCCTGACTGGGCCAGTTCTAAACAATATCGGGCCAGTTCCGGGCCAGGCGGCCCGAACCGAGTCTATCCCTAAGTGACACGCTGGTGGCCGGTGATGGAGAAGAAATACATTAGAGTATATGAACGTCGTTGATGAGCAAGGTAGGTGCTTACTTTGTCACCCATATTGTATTTGATTGAAATGAATTCATCATGCGTACTATACAAGTTCTTTGTGAGCACTCATACAACTACTAAGTGTATTCCCTGCGCACTTAAAATTTGTTTTCAAGTTTGGATAGATTAAGACGCAATGTTGAAGTTTAAAACTATCAAATAAGCCCTGTTCCTCCGTATGCATACACACGTGGCAAATCCTTAATTTTCTTTTTCATTTTTCTTCTCTTTCCCTTTCTTTCTTCCTTCTAAATCCTGTCTCTGTTCGTTCCCATGCATCTCTGCTGCGCAGATCAGGACACCCCTCCTTGCTCCTTTCTTCGTACGTTTAAGATACACAAACACACACATATATCAATCAATCCACAACAACGAAACTAAGCTCCATTGCTCCAATTTCTTCTTGCCTAAACTAATCAAAATCCCAATAAGCACGATTTCTTAGCTTTTAGATCCAATTATGAATTGAATTTAACTTTGAAACGAGAAAAGAAAATACAAGAGATAAGGGAACAAGAAGGTGATTAGGCGGCAGTGGGAGGCGGCGGCGTTAGGCGAGGGAGACAGTCCTGTTAATTGGAGTATTTTTCCTGAAAATTTCATTTAGGCACAAACACTGTGTAATGAAATCTCTGTGCGGGCTAGAAGCCTTGAATCACGGGCGGTGGCCTTTTGACGGCGGCGACCAGCTAACCAAAGAATATGTAGTGTGGGTGACGAACCAGGAGAAGAAATAGCGGAGAACCAGAGAGGGAGGGAAGAAATAAGGCATTTGTTCGTGTTCAAACAATTATTGTCCGTATTTATTGAAAATTATGGCGACAAACTTTGGAGATATTAGACTAAGCATGGTTATGGGTCGGAGCAGGGCGGGTATTGCAAGACCCGGACCCGCCTCGCCCCGTGACTCGCACTGGTCCAAAATTGTTGATCCATGCCTCGTCCCATGCGGGGCGGGTCCGCCCCGCCTCATCATGATCTAATTAGCTACTATGAATTTCTATTTACGTGAAGTTACTACCACTTGAATCTACACAAAGTTTGCCTTTAAATAATTATTAAATAGATACGTAGTAATATATTAAATCAAAGTCAAAATATGATAATATTTTCAAAATTTCGGAAAAAAGTACTTAGACTTGAATAATTAATCTATTTTTATTAATAATAGACTATACAAGTATAAATTAAAATGCTATATATAAAAAGACATTAATAATTCATCATTCATCCCATTCAAATATAAATATTAATTCCTTAAAAAAATATAAATGTTAATATATTATAAGACCAAAGAATTTATGATTTATTTTATACATATATATATAGAGGAATGTTCAGGTCCATCCGGAGGGACGGGAGGTGCCGTCCGAACTTTACTGTTTGGGACGGTTCCCGGTGGAATTTTTCGATGAATTTTTTTGAGCATGTTCCTCATCAAGTCTAGTTTGTCCATACCAAATTTCAGCTCAAAATTCGATCGGGATGGCAGTCAAATAAATTCTTGAAGCTTACTGCACATTCTGCGCATATATAAAGTGCAGTAAGTTTCAAGAATTTATTTGACTGCCTTCCCGGTCGAATTTTGAGCTGAAATTTGGTATGGACAAACTAGACTTGATGAAAAACATGCTCAAAAAACTTCATCGAAAAATTCCACCGGGAACCGCCCCAAACAGTGAAGTTCGGACGGCTGCTCCCGTCCCTCCGGCTGGACCTGAGCACCTCTATGTGTGTGTGTGTGTGTGTGTAGAAGTATATTTGTAGTACAGAGTATAATTTTAAAAAAAGTATGTTCACTTATATATTGAGCGGGGCGGATCAGGGCGGGGCAGCACGGGTCAATGCTAACACCCGAACCCGCCCCATTGTATGGACGGGGCGGGACGGACCCGCCCCATTTGCAAGACGGGGCGGGGCGGACCCGCCCCAAATGTCTCGGGCCAGGGCGGGTCATTGCGGGTTGGTGTTTTTTACATGCCTATTTCAGACTGAG